CAGCTCCCAGACATCTATAGCGATCCCTGCGGGCGGTAGAACCACTGCCTATTGTAGTGCCCCTGCAGATTACATGACACCTGCCGACCGTAGCGCCCCCTACAAATCAAAGTAGCCTTCTGCTGTTTAAAGCGCCCCCTGCTGATGATCGCCACAGAAAATACTGATCGTGGTGCCATCTACCGAACGTCACTCACAGTATAGGTATTTGTTCTGGTTGCACATGGTGCTAGTGTCCTTCGTTGGTCGTGTCACATATAAGCAGATGGTTGATAAATCACATGCATCCACAACTACACAGGGATTCTACTAAGTACACCGTCACCTCACTAAATTTAATTTGTATTTTCATTGATAAATTACTCAAAACCAAGCCTTATATAAAGACTTACTAAAAGCAACGTGTTGACAATGACATAAGGCTAGAAGCTTCTCTAGACATAGAAAAGAGTCAAACAACATAGACATTCTCTTCTTCTAGACATAGAGGCTTCAGTTGGCTGACTAAACAGACCGTGTCACCACTGCAGGAAATGCACGACTCGACTGTCTGTTTGTTGCTTTCAGTGACCAGATAGCGGTGAGGCAGTCTCAGGTGGACCGTCTCTACGCCGGCCTCAAAGACCTCGCGCAGGAGCGCAAGGCCAAGCTCGACGAGACTCTTAAGCTGTACATGCTGAACCGCGAGGTCGACGACCTGCTGACGTGGATCGCCGAGCGTGAGGTCGTCGCGGGGTCGCACGAGCTCGGCCAGGACTTCGAGCACGTCTGCGTAAGTGCACGTCGGTGGGTTGCTGCGGCGCGTCGGCGGGGGGCGCGCGTATTCCCGCGTCGGCATAGCCGGCGATGTCGCAGCTTCTTTTGTTTTGAGGCGCGACAAAAGTTAGGAGAACCTGGTCAGCGTAAGTGGTGTGGTGTGGCGCGGCGTGCGGCGCAAATGTAACTGTTGCGTACGAGAATGCCGGAAAGGTGGCGCTGATTATTACGATTGTTTCCACAAAGTAAATTGTATGAGGCTTGATATTATTGTGTTTCGCCTTGTCAGTTTTATTATGCAACACGGGTACTCGCGTATGCCCGCGTCGGGCTACCTGCGGCGTCGTATATATCCCTTTGTTTCGAGACGCGGCAAAAGTTATGAGAACCTGGTCAGGCTATTAGAAGTCTAGCTATTAGAAGCTATTAGAGGCTATGAGAAGTCAAAACTAGCCGTCCATTCCTATCATGGTGTCAACCATTATCTTAAAGCCCTGTAAGATAACCTAGGGAACAGCAAAGTGTTGACTATGGTACAACAGTAGTACCGGTACATACATAAAGTATTCAATGTTCTGCCTCCTCTTTCGATATGTGTGCATAAATAAACGAACCATCTCTTGGTGTGCCACCCATGTATTTTGATGTTCTACGATGCTTGAGCAAGGGTGTCTGAGATGACCCGAGTCCACTCTCTCTGCATCACAGATGCTGCAGGAGCGATTCCGCGAGTTCGCCCGCAACACCGAAGCCATCGGCACGGAGCGCGTTGCCGCGGGCAACGAGATCGCCGACGCGCTCATCAACGTTGGTCACTCGGATGCTGCGCTGATCGCGCAGTGGAAGGACCAGCTGAACGAGGCGTGGACGGACCTTCTCGAGCTGATTGATACACGCACACAGATACTCGCCTCCAGCTACGAGCTGCACAAGTACTACCACGACTGCAAGGACTGCCTCGGCATGATACAGGTGAGTGCGGTGAGGGAGAAGGGGGGAGGAGGCGAGGAGGGGAGGAGGAGGTGGAGGGGGTGGGAGATAGGAGGCCAGCTGCTGGCTGCAAAAGTGCATGATCCAGGTACGTACGCACGCGGGGGGGGGGGGGTCAGGGTTTGTGCAGGTCGGGGAAAAGCTGGAAGGTCCTGGAATTGTAAAATGTCATTTTATAGGTCTGGTCCTGAAAAGTCTTGTATTGTAAAGTAAACTATGGTCCTGAAAAGTCCTGGAAAATAGGCATTAGGTAAAGTCTTGTGGTCATGAAAAATGGAACTTGTATGTCCTGGAAAGCTGCTGGCAAGCAACTGGAAGACTATTTTGCCTCGGGGTATACACACGGTGATTGTGCAGATACATGAATACGGACACTCCAGCACACGAAATCACTGGGCCCAAGTATCCCTAAATTCAACCCAGCACAATGATTTGCATGGCGTTATAGCGGAATATGATGAATATAGCCTATTGATATGTTGTTGTTTTTCGTAAGTGATGGTTTAGCTGTATTCGAATTTAGATCTGGTATTATGATTTACAATTTACAATTGGGTATACAATTTAGAATGGATACTTAACAAAGATAAATTGCATGGAAGTACTTCCTGGTTAATGATTTTACACATATTAGATCAGTAATACAGATCTCAGGAAACAAGTCTAGCAGATGTTCACACATACAGCTCATTCAGCTGCACGTTCTATAAACATCACTAAGTATGCTGTCTTTGGCCTAATTCTGCGATTGCTGCCGAGCAAAAACATTGATTAAGTTTTTCTGCTACAGTACAAAAGACCCACGTATAAGAACTGTATTTTTGCCAGGTTAGCCTAAAAGGTTGCTTATATACAATTGGTGTGGTAGCTGGAAATTCGTGGCTATATACGGTTCTTAACTACGGTTCATATTTTTCTTGAGAATAGGGACTGGTGAATGAAATTGTGGCGGTCTCATGTTTTATCACAAAATATTCATATAATTATGTCTAATGACTGCAATACCTAGACTAATAACACAACCGCATTCTTACGTTCTTATTTCTTTTTAATCGCCCTTTAACCTAATAGAGTAATATAGACACCAAGAACTTGTTTTAGTTGATTTATGAATTTTCAAGTGTTAACTGATTTTATCAAATAAGACGCTGTTCCGTCAAATTTTAGGGTACAACAGGTTCTTATGCTCATAGGGGGTCTAAATGAAAAATTTAGCACTAACACAGGTTTCTTAATCCCCTAGGTTCTTATACGCTGGGTTTTTGACTGTATGTCATGGATGAATGATCTGAATCCGTCGTTGTGCCACTTTCAGTCGTATCGATAATCATATAATTATGAAAGCTGGCGATTACACTTGTTATAGTAAA